ACTGGCTCACAGTGCTGAGAGCTCCTCAACCCACCTTCTCCAACTTTGTCTCATAGCCTCCCAATTCCTGTATGCACCCCACACTCCATTCACATCACCCTGGGGTTCACGTTCCATGAACACGTCTGCATACTCCCTACCTGGAGGGTTCTTCCTGCCCCACCTGGAAGGTCCTTCCTTCTCTACCTGGGAGACCCTAATGATCAACCCCCAGCCAGAGTAATACCCCTTCCTTGTGTCCCAACACCATTCATTACGGGGCCTTTTGGGTGAGTTCATTTCTTTGTCACCTCTGTGAGTCCTTAAACTCTAAGCAGAGGTTAAGTCCTGAGCTTTGGAATCAGCCCACTTTGCATTTGTCAGTCTAATTCACAAGACAAACCTAGGAATTGATATTATCCTTCCCATTTTATAGAGGAGTACACCGAGGCTCAAAGAGACTAACTACTTTGCCCAAGGTTCCCCAGCTGGTAAGTGGTGGTCCCAAGACATCACAGATTGTCTGGGAACTAATTTGGTAGAGGGTCAAGCTCAGGTCTGGAATAAGCTTGATTGAATGAGACGAGGGTAATGAGGATGGTGGAAATGCATGTACTTGTTGAAGAGACCCTGAGGAGGTTTTCACTCGGGGCTGATGTGCTGGGGTCCTGGACTGGGGGCACCGCTCCCCACATCGCCCCTCCCACGTCCACAGGGGTGTGAGTTCAACACTGTCACCCGCCTCCATCCTCCTCTTGTGGAAGGCGGATGCCAGCGAGTCCACCGGAGCGGCACTGCGTAGCCTGTAAGTCAGCCCCCGACAAGCCTCCCAAGTCAGATTTTAGAGGAAGATGCCAAGACCCAAGGAGGCCTAGAAATTTGCCCACAGTTAAGAAGGCTGGTGAGCGACCCAGTCCCAGCCCCACTCCAGGCTTGGAAACCACACACCTGGCTGTGTCTGCCTAATAGGGAGAGTCCCATGCACGGCCCCGCCAGACTGCTACTCTCAGATAGGCGCCCCCCGCAAGAATGCTTCCCTCTCCGCTCGGAGCCACATCCCCAATGCTCAAAGGGAAACAAGGCTTGAGTCGGGTGTGGTCACCTAAGGCAAGAGGACAGCGACTCACCATGCCCTTCCCACACTCCGAGGGGCAGGCAGGGAGGGGGGAGGATCTGGTTTGGCCAGGGGAGGTCTAACCTGGCCAAGCAGAGTGGCTCAGTGTTGGGTGGGAGGGGTCTCCCCAGAAGCTCGGAAGCTGCTTTGGGCAGAGGGGAAAGACCCTACATCCCAGCTGCAGCAGGACCATTGCCCAGGAAAGGCCCAGCTCTTCATTGTTCTTTTTGGCATCCGGTCTCTGGAGTGAGTGTCTGAGGCTGCTCTGAAAAGGGGGCCCAGTGCCTGTTTATCTTGCCGCCTGCAGCCCCTAGAACACGCCCCAGGCTAGCGGGCACATCAGCCTGGAGCCCCGCCAAGCCTTCGCTCCTGGCTGCAGATGCCGCTTCTCCAGCTCTGGAGCGCAGTGGGTGCTCTCTTCTTCCTGGGCACACCTTCCCCGAAGACCCCTGGGAGTCGCTGGCCCAGGTCTCTCTGGCCCGGGATGCCGGCTTGCAGGGGCCAGTCTGCCCGGCTCTTCCTGAGTGCAAGGTGTCTTTGCAGCCTCTCTGCTGCAGATGGGTGCCTTAGAGCGAGGATGACCTGGGGCCTCCAGAGCGAAGCCCTTTCTAGCAGCTGTGCCATTCCTCGCCCTGTGGTCCTGTGGGGTTCCTGCCTCCCGGGTCCCTCCTGCCGCCACCAGCCTGGGAGATTTTGCGGAGACACACATGAACCTCAGAAGCAGCTTCTCTCAGAGCAGAATTCCCTCCATGGTCTGTGGTCCCCTGCTAATTTTTTTCCAGGGTTAAATTAAGGTACATGGTGGGTGAGGTATGGAGGGAAAGACCCAAGTTTGCAAAGTCCGGGGTTAGACTCTAGCAACCTGGAATCAGCTCTGGCCTGGTCACTCCCTGGAGTTCAGTTTCTTCATCTGGAAATGGTGGACGGGACTCACAAGTCCCAAACTAGCGTTCCCCAGAACCCCAGGGTTCCATGAGGCATTAATAGGTCTCCTATGAAAAAGAGAATTCGGGTCCCATAAGTTTGGGTGATAATATATGCTATCTCATCCTCCCAGCGGGTCATTAGGCCCAAAGGCATTTCAAAGGCTCAGGGAAGTCCTGCAGTGAAAACAAAACTAAACTAAACTAAACCAGTTTACCTTTGTTCAACCCTGCCTTTCTCACAAGTAATTCACCATAGAAGCCCTTTTCCTCAAAATAGCAGTCAACATCCTGGGACACCCCGTTGGGACAACCTGACCAGATAACCTCTCGGGTTTCTTGTTGCCTGGATAGGCGAGGCCTCTCCACCCCGGGGCTGGGAGCAGGCAGCGAGCGGCTCTACAGCAAATTCCAAGATCCCACAGAAAGGTCCACACTGCACGTAGAAAAGGCTCCCTCAGGGGCAAGTGGCAGTCCCTCCCAGCTCTATTTTTTTTTTTTTTTTAGAAAATCTACTGCTAGGAATTAGAGACCAAGAGGGGGAGACTTAAAAAAAAAAAAAATCTCATTTTTTTACTCTGATTCTTTGTCAATTTGATGACGTCGGTTCACCTTAAGACTAACAGCCTTGGTTTGCCCATCTGTGAACAGGGACTAGGGAAGCTTCACTGGCGCCCACTCAATGTTAGCCCTCAGAAGTCCCCAACCTGGGGTCCCCATACACCAAATGGGGAGAAAGGCCTAAGCTGTTTCCAATATTTAAAGAAGTCTAAGGGAAATTATGCATTTACCATGAGAAGTGTCTTTGCTTTTGACTGGCACTGCATCAACTCAGTATGGCAATGCTGCTTGTCGAGCGGACAAGGATTATTATGCAATAGATGTGGTTGGTTTGTTAGACAATTTTTTTTTTTTTTTTTTTTTTTACAAACTTAGTGTCTGTGAAAGTAATAAAAAGATCAGCTGGTAATGAAAAGGTAAAGAGCTCCTGACTCAAGAGCTTGGGCCCCAGAGCAGTTTAAAAGTGCTGTGGTGGAGAGCAAAGGTGTGGAGGGGACCCGGGGGAAGTAAGGGTGTCCCCGAGGGGTTCCTGGGGGCGACCCGGGGTTGTGTATGGGAGCGTGTGACGTGGTTGTGACACACGGCTTGGCCTTTCAGAGCACACTGGGGAAGGATCTCCGCGGGCCGAGACAGGGCGGGGGGCACCACCTTTACTGAGCTGAGCGGAGCAGAGCCCATTCAAGCGGGCTCAGGGATCCAGCCAACGTGGATTCTGTGCAACTTCTTAGCCTTTTGGCAGTGCCAATGTCTGAGGGCTTTCAAACACTTGGACGTTCTGATTTTATATGTGCAGAGCCCTGACCCCTTGAGCCCCGCGTCACCTCTTCACAAGCTGCCACATCTAGAGGTAGTCTGTGCGGTTCAGGGCTCTTTACTCTTCCCTCCAAGATGCTGTTCACTCAGAATCGCCTCACTAGTTTCCTGTTCTCCTTTCTCCCCTTGGGCCCCATTGCCCAACATTTCTCCCCCAACATCCAGCTCCATTTTGGTACCAGCCTTGGGAGCTGGGCCCACAAGACTTCTCTCTCCCCCAGGAAAGCAGCGGTGAAAATCAGGGTTGATAGAGCCTTACGCATCACCCAAAGGTGGTGAGCTTTTTCTAACTCTTCAGAGCACCTAAGATAACAAAGTCTTTCCCTTGTTAATATTGATATTGTTAATAATATCTCTTGCTAAGAATTGGGCCATATCTGTGAAAATTTAGAGGAAACAAGAGGACAACTGACAGGGGGATTCCATCTGCCCCAGGACCTAAATCAGACTGCTGGCTTTAACTAAATGACTAAAGCTGAAAAGGATTTTTCTCTAGGGTATTTGAGAACAAAGCATTTTGTTGTGTGGATTTTAAAAAATTATGTCAAATGACTTGATAAATAAATGCATAATTTGGGGTGGAGGAGTTAGCCGTTAATTAAACTGTAGGGGAAAACGTGAAAGACATTGCATTTATTTGTAAATTTCAGGATTCCAGATGTCTATATATTTGTGTTTTGGATTCTCTTTTGAATAGGTTGTAATATGTTACTGGTTCTCTCCTTCATTAATGACTTAAATAAAATCTCTGACATGTGTTCATTTTATAGCTATATGAGAGGTATGATTATGCCCTCCTTTAAAAATTATCTTTTGACATATCCATTGAGAAAGGGCCATGTGAGGACACAGCGGGAAAGTAGGCATCAGCAAGCAAGGAGAGAGGCCTCTGGAGTAACCAAATCTGCTGATGCCTTGATCTTCCAGCCTCCAGAACAAGAAAAAATAAATTTCTGTGGTTTAAGTTACACAGTGCATACTATTTTCTTATGGTAGCCTTACCAGACTAAGACTATATACCCAGTTTGTTCATCCATTTATCTATTGATGGATATTTTCTTGTTTTCAGTTTTTGACAGTTATGAATAAAGCTGCTATTAACATTCATACACAAAAAATTATCTTTTGATGAATTTATTCAACTTATTTATTCAACTAATATTTCCTAATGTAAACTAGGCATTATGGTTGGACACCCAAGATAGAAAAATAGATAGCATCCTAGCCCTAGAGAACAGTCTAGTATGGGGAATGTGAAGTGGTAGGTAGACTGACAAGTGACCAGATTTAGTAAAGATAAGGAGTGCTCTATTACTCAGCAATTTAAAAAAGGATGAGATCTTGCCATTTGCAACAACACAGATGGACCTAGAAGGTATTATACTAAGTGCAGTAAGTCAGAGGAAGAAAAATACCATGACTTTACTTCTGTGTGGAATCTAAGAAACAAGAGAACAAATGAAAAAAGCAGAAACAGACCCCTAAATACAGAGAACAAACTGATGGTTGCCAGAGAAGAGGGGGTGAGCGGATGGGCAAAATGGGTGAAGGGCAGTGGGAGGTATGGGCTTCCAGTTATGGCATAAAGAAGTCATAGGGATGAAAGGTACAAATAAGGCATATGGCCAATGATAATGTGTGTCATCCTTGCGCAGGGGCCATGCTAATCTTCTCTGTATCGTTCCAATTTTAGTATATGTGCTGCTGAAGCGGGCACTGGCCAAGGATAATGTAATAGTGTTTGTGGTGACAGAGGGCAGCTACACTTGGGGAGAGCACAGCATAATGTGTAGAGTTGTCCGATCACTATGTTACACACTTGAAACTAATGTAACATTGTGTGTTGACTATGCTTCAACTTAAAAAGTAAAAAAAAGGCAAGGAGCACTCTAATGGGGGGGCTGCTGGTGGGATAAGTATAGGGGTGTGGTAGTCTTCTTGAAGGAGTGAAGTAGAGCTCCCTGGCACTGCTTGAGCAGGTGAAGAACAAGAGGGGAGAATTCTCTGCAGAATCAGCCTCAGGCACAGAGGCGGAGAGACATGCCTTCCTGGAGCTTCCATTTTGAAGACAGAGAGAGATGAGGGTGGACCAGCAGATGGGTCAGATTCCAAAGGGCCTCGTGTCCTACAATGCACAGAACTGATTGTAGGTAACGTTTAAAATTACAGAAAAGAGTACAGTTTTATTTATTTCTTTTTAAAGATTTTATTTATTTATTTGACAGAGAGTGAGAGAGCACAAACAGGGGGAGTGACAGAGGCAAAGGGAGAGGGAGAAGCAGGCTCCCCGCCGAGCAGGGAGCCCGACACGGGGTTCGATCCCAGGCCCCTGGGATCATGACCTGAGCCAAAGGCAGAGGCTTACCCACTGAGTCACCCAGGTGCCCCAAGAGTACAGTTTTTGACTTCTCAGATCTCCTGACATACACAGGAGAATAAATAACCTGGTCCAATAAGTCGTTGATGATTTTGAGTCACTGGTGAAATGACATGGTCGGGTGGGTGTTTAAAAAAAAACCAAACCAAACAACGTTCCAGACTGTAGCGGGAAGAAGGATTAGAAGCAAGGGGACTAGCACTTCGGGGTAGATTTTCCAAAAGAAGGCAGTGAGAGGGAGTTTGGGGTGGACGAGCTGTGGAAGTAAGGGAGAGAAGCAGGGTGAGGCAGGGAGAAGTTGAACTGCAGCGCAAGGCTGACAAAACCTTGGCCGACCCAGCATGGAACTCTGGAGCGAACATCGTACCTCTGAGCGTTGTGTGTGGGGACAAGATGGCTGCGCCTTTATGTGGATTTGTCTAGTCACGGAATGTGCATTGCCCCAGGAAGGGCATGGTTTTGGGTGCAGCAGCTCTCCCCCACCGAGGCAGACCCTGAAGGAGCTGTCCGACCCTGCTTACGGGGCCCCCACAGCCGTACCCCATGTCTATGAAACAAGTCCTTCCTTGGAAAGAGGTGTGGGCGGTGTGTTTCTGTGAGCACTATAGTTCACTCCTTGTTCCACTCAGTTTGTTTTCCCTACATGTTCTGGCAGCAGTTCTTCCCGAATGGCTCAGGTCATTTCTTCCCAAGAAACTCAGAAGGGGGAAGTTAGTAGGATGAGCCAGCCCGGAATGGTGCAGTTGGATTCTCGGTCACAGTTGACGCTCATCCGTTCTAGAAGCCTCTCCTCATCGGTTACCGTTTCTCCTGGCTTCACAGGCTAGTCTGATACGACCCAGACCTCATCTCTAGGGGACCTGAGCCCCTTTGCAAGCTGAGGTTTCTATAGCTCTCCATTTACTGTCACTGTTGGGCAAGAGAGCACCAAAGGTGCCCAAGTCACCTGTGTTAAAAGGTAATTTTTTTTTCAGAAAAAAAAAAATTAGGACTCTCAGACACAAAGATGGATGAGATATGTGTATATATACAAAATTTAAGAAAGTCAAAAGAGCACAAGCATATTTGACATTAAGCGATATTGGGATGAATTGCAAGTAGAGATAAAATTTTTTTCTGCAGTGGGAAATAAGTCAATTAAAATCACCACAAGACAAGACAGAATTTACATATAATTACCTACAATTTATCAAAATGTTGAAAAATAACTTGAAGATGAGGAACACGACCAGAATCTGATAATCTGGAAAGGTATGTTATAAATGATGCATAGTGTCCACTGAAACACATTTTTTCTACACCTGGGTGCCAAACATAATCTTCCCATGTCAGTGGATGGAACATTCTATAAACCTTCATATGGTGGTGCTGGTTGAGTCTCTGTGGTCAGGAAAGGCAAGGCCAACCCATGACCTGAATATGTACCTATTCTTCTGAGAACAAAGAATAGATCTCTGAACTTTCCAGGATGGAAAGGGCCCAATGTAGTCAAACTGCTACCAAGTGGCTGGTTTGTCTCTTGAGGAAGACCAATCAATATGGTGCTCTCCTGGGGACTCTGTTGGTTGCTGCTGTAGGCAGGACAACTTTAATGGCAGCAGAGCCAAATTATCTTTGGTGAGTGAGAGTCTATGCTGTTGGCCCATGAATAACCTTCATCTCTGCTCCCACATTTTGTTCACGTTTCCATTGTGCTGACACTGGAGTGGCCCGTGATAGAGGCTGGCTAAGGCCAGTGGGCTGAGTCATCTGTCTACTTGATTTAGTTCTTCACCAATGGTGGATGCTCTCTGGGGATTTGAACATAGGATACAAAGATTTTCCTCCTTCAGGTCCACTTCTTTAAGTTCATCCACATACCTCCATCCCAGACCCCTTACCCCTAATTTTCCTGTTTTTCCTCATCAGCTAGCCAGGCCATTTGCCACTATATATTCTAACCTTGGGACACTTCTTTTTTCTACACTAAGTGGGTGACCCAGTGCACTACTCACAGCTCTGAATATTGGGAGGATTTTCTCTTATTACTGTCTTTTAAGCACCCCGCCCCCCACCCCCTCCCTGTGTGAGGTTGTAGTGTAACTCTATCCAATTTCAGCTTGCACTCACATACAGAGTTGACCCATCCATGAAACAACCCGGGGTTTTTCCTCCTCTTTCAGTTGGTCTTACAGGATGCCTCGTCCTGCCAGAGATGTGCCCAGGAAGAGGACCTCCTGGGCAATCATGGTAGATGAGAGGGGGTCTGGATTACCTGCTCATGCAGCCTGCTTGTACCCTCTCATCCTGTTGGTACTCAATCCTGGAGGTACCACTTCCACTTTATGATGGACTGTGGCTGAGCTAGTCTCATTGGGTGTTAGAGGACCCTGCATTTGATGGGCAGTTTTAGCCACAAAGTTACTTGGTGACTTTCTCTCTACCAGGGCCTACTAGCAGGTTAGGAGTTGTTTTCCAAAGGCATACAATTCTTCAGTGCAGATGGCATGGCCTTGCTGCAGAGCCCTGGGGGCTTGCATTGTGATTTTCTCTCACTGGAGCTTGCCACAAACTCCATGTGGTGTCCTTCCTCACCACCGTACCTCTAATCCCATGAGGTCTGTCAGAGCATATGGATCTGGATTGTCTGCATGGTAGCCTGAGCTGGCTGCAGAGGTCTTTTCTGCTCTGGGACTCAAAGTTGGCTGCCTTCTATGTCACAAGATGCATGAGTCAGAATAGTTTCTCTAGGTATTGAATATGCTGACTCAAGAACTTGAAGAGGTTTACCAGGCGTGTTTCCTTCTTCATAGTGAGGTACAAGGTGCAATAATTTGTCTTTTGTTTTGCAGATGTCCTCGTTACTGGACCTGATTCCTGGCCTTCTGAAAAGGTTAGAGTTGTGGTAGGCTCCTGAATTATTGCAGGGGTTAGTGCCGACCCTCTGGAACACACGTCTTATAAAGGTCTCCAGCAAGCTAGCCACCTCTTGCTCATCTGACCCTATCAATATAATATCATTGATGAAATAAAGGTGTTATTCTGTGGATGTCCAACTGGTACAAATATTGAACTCAATATGGCCTTGCAGCAAAACTGTTAAGGTCTATTATTTCCATGGAAATGTGAATTGTTTCTGATCTTTTGTTTTGACTGAAAGAAAAAAGAATGCCTTCACCCAGTCAACGGCTGTAAACTATACACTTGAGGTGGTATTGATCCGGTCTAACGAAGATATCACACCGGCACCCTGCTTGCAACTGGGGTTATTATACTTGAGATTGTGATAGTTCAGTGACCCTTCCTACTCCATGTGGTTTCTTCAGGGACCAGACTGGTCAAACTAATAAGAATTGAGAGGAGGAGATGAATAGAATGTGGTAATACATCTCTATTATCTTCTCCCCACAATATGACTTTACATTTATTTATGCCTGGGTGGGGGGGAAGGTTAATTTGAGAGACTCGCACTTGGCCTTTTCCAGTATGATAGCTCTTATTTTGCAGACCAAGGATGCAAAGTGGGGTTGGGCCAACTGCCAAACAGGTCATTCCAGTTATATATTAGCAGACTGAGTAACTGACCACTGAGTGGGTCCATGGGAGCTGAGGATCTCTGTAAACTGGACATTGGTCAGGACTACATTTGTTATCTGGCCCCCATAGGACCCACTCTAACATGGGGGCCATGATAATTCAGGTCTTGGGCCATCAGTGACAACTCATGCCCTATGTTCAACCATCCTCAAATATCTGGGTATTCCCTTTACCCTAATGTGTAGTTTCCTAATCATTATTGTGTATACTTGCCATGATATTGCAGTGTTTTCCCTCCTGTGGACCCAGCCATCTCTTCTGTCAGCAGTTCTGGGTCTGAAAACTGGTGCGGTCAGCTTCAGAAATTGGGCAAGGGATTGTGACTTTTTATTAGGGCAACGGCCTCAGCTTTGAAATTGTCCATCATTGATTTCTGCTAGCATAAGCTCAGTAGTACAAGCTGGGTAACTGCCCATTTATTTTGTCTCTAGGGACTCTGTTGTCGGAATTATTCTCGTAACTCTCTGTGGTTCTGACCCTCTCAGCTGCCACTGTGACCTTGCAGTCAGGAGAGTGATTGTGACTTCCTGGCTTTGGGTGGTTTTATGTCGCCACCTGGCTCTGTTGTTTCAGAGTCCTATCATCCCCGTTGCTATCAGCCAACATTGTTCTGTAGTGATGTCTTTATAGAAGAGTCATCTTTGAATTTTTAGTGATGGTAGTGCACCTCTGAACAGTGTATGCTTCAGGACCTTTGTCCATGGTGTGTCCTCTTGGCCTTCCAGCCACAGTATATCCACCATGCCCGCTTCCCTGAGACTTTT